CTCAGTGCTGTGCTTTAACCCGCTGCGCCACCAGGGAGGGCCAAATAACTCTTTTTTAAAAATAGAAAATAAATTAGAGGTAAAGGGAGCATGGAAATGCTCAGACATCCAGCATTATTCATTACTTTGGTCGTCTTTCCTTAGGAATCTGGTCGGCAGCTCTGAATGGAGATCTGGGCCGAGTGAAGTATTTAATCCAGAAGGCAGCAGACCCTAGCCAGCCTGACTCAGCCGGCTACACGGCCCTGGTGAGCTGGAGAGGAACGTAGGGTCAGAGCAGAGAGGCCCTCACTGGGAGGTATCGGCCTGAGTGGGGATGGACGTTTTGCTTTCTTGTCTCCCAGGTAGATTCTGTTTTAATTATCATGTGAAACTAGATTTGTAAATGAGTGTAAGTATTTTGCATCCATTATTTAATTCCATTTCATAATGATCTGTGAGGCAGGAATGATATTATCCCACTTTCCTTTTGAGGAGCTGATGCTAGGGATGAAGACACTTGTCACAGCTAAGTGCTAATGAGTAGCACTTGAGATGATTCCAGGTCTCTCGCTCTACCACCCATTACCCTCCTGGATTCTGCTCTGTGACTTTGGGTGACTTCAGCCTCTGTTCCCTGCAGCACTATGCCAGCCGCAATGGGCACTATGCTGTCTGCCAGTTCCTGCTGGAAAGCGGGGCAAAGTGTGATGCCCAAACCCACGGGGGTGCCACTGCCCTGCACCGGGCCAGCTACTGCGGGCACACTGAGATCGCACGGCTTCTGCTTTCGCATGGGTCCAACCCCAGACTGGCTGACGGCGATGGCATGACCAGCCTGCATAAGGTATGCGCTTTGCCCCAGCATCAGTGTTGTCACTGAGAAAGCGCTGACGTGCTCACTGCACAAAACACGGGGAGAGCAGAAAAACAACATCATGTAGAAAATAAAACTCCCTCACTTGTCATCTCCTCAGGATGTAATTTTCCCATGTAAATTTTCTGCATGTAAATTAGAATTAAATAGACGGGGTCATTTTTCTTTCCCTTAGTGACATGTCATGAATGCTATTCATTTTCTGAACCTGCTATTGTCTGTCCCTATAGTCCACTTTCCAGACTATAGCCAGAGAAATTATTGAACTTTCCCTGACTAGTATGACCTGCACAGAATGAACATATTGAGGAGTACAAAATGGTATATCATGAAAATGAATTTCCCTTCCATCCCTGGCCTTTCACCCCTCAGTTTTCCAGCTCACCTCCCTTGCGTATGTTTGAGAAGTGGTTTATGCATATTTGTGGTATATGTGTGTGTTTATCCCTCTCTTGCCCACTTGCTTTTCTCCCCACGTGGTTTTATTTAAAAAAAAAAAACAATTTTTTTAATTTATGCATACAAGAACTGGGATGTCCAGAAGTGCAGGGGGAAAGGGTTTGAGAGGATTCACCAGAGACAGAGTGGGGAGCAGAACAGGCAGATTGACTGAAATCCACTGCTGAGGACAGCAGCGGAGGTGACAGGAGAGGCCTGTTGTACCATGTGGGTCAGTTCCCTGGTGGGGGGATCAAACTCAGGCTGCAGCGGTTGGCTAAAGCCTGATAGCACGGAGCCTTAATCCCTTGCGCCACCAGAGGGCGCCCCCGCCCACGCGATGGCTTTAAAAAGCAGTTCACACTCAGAGACTCCTTCAGAAGTTCTTGTATCACATCCTTCAGCTGGCCTGAGACCGTCAGGGTCAGGTCCCGTCTTCCTCTCCAGTTGGTCCTGAGCTCTCCTTCCCTGGTCCTTTATAGTCTTTAGCTTCTCAAATCTACTACCCTATCACTCCCAGGCCATATATATCTAGTTATTCTCCTTTCCAGATTTTTTCTGTGGCTTATTTCTGTGCGTCTGCCTGGACTTCAGCTTGACATCACACAGAGCCTTCCTGTTCCTCAAACATGGGTAGCTTTGTATACCCACAACGCTCTGTACTTTTCCTAACTCTTCTCCTTTTTGAACATTTTCTATTTGAGCTTTCTCTCCCACTCAAGACAGTGAGACTTTGAAAGTCTTGCAGCTCCAGCTCTTAGCTCAAAGGCACTGAGCAAACACACCTGGATGCTGTCTTGGCTTAAGGTCCTTACCAGCTGGGGAGGCAGATTGATTCTTTCTTAAGGGTTTCAACTGGTTGTGTGGAGACATTTTACTGCCACAACTCACATACCGGTGGTAAAGACAGGACCCTGACTCGGACGAAACCGGCTGGGGTGCCCACAGCTAATGGCACTGTTGACACATCCTCATCCTTTTCTCTGTTTCAGGGAATGCAAGTGCATGAGCCCTGTGAAGTATTTTTATTTTAAAATTAACTGTTTGTTAACATCAGTACCTTGTTTTGTAAAATCTGTCTGGAAGCCATATCACCACTGCCCACATCTACTGCCTGAGATGAGACAACACCACTGATGGGTCTGTCATCAATCACCCCTAGGCCTGCTGAATGATGATGTGGACCCCAGCTTCAGATGGTGGCTGCTAATTTTAAACCTAACTGATTTTAAACCTCATAAAACCCTCTTGTCTTCAATATGTCTGTGGGGAAGAGTAGGGAATATAGTGTTATAACCTAGTTAAGAGTTCAGATTTTAAGAATGGTCAGACAGACCTGGATTAGAATCCACAGACTGCCACACCAGCTCTGTGACCTAGAACACGTAACTTCTATAAACCGTTTCTTTGTCTGTAAAGTGGGAATTATACTGTCTCTGATAGTTGCTGTGAAAGTTAAATAAGAATCTGTGTTACACTGCTTAACTATGTTATTTCTGGAGGAGTAGAGGTTGGCATGCATGTTGGGATCATCTATCTCAAAGGAGGAGAAGGAGACACCTGGGGACAGGCCTGTTTCTCTGCTTGCCTGAACGGTCCAGAGGGCCAGGCTGTGTCTGACGTGTCATGTGTTCACAGTTCCCAGCACCCTATAGGTGATCTGAACATTTGTAAGACATTTAGGGATCCAGGGTTTGGTACTTGTTTTTTTGTCTTTATTTTTGAGATTTATTTACTTATGCTTACAAGAATTGGGTTGTAAGCCAGAGGTGTGGGGGGTGAGAGGATTCACCAGAGACAGAGTGGGGAGCAGAAAAGGAGGATCTACTGAAATACACTGCTGGGGGGAGCAGCGGGTGAGAGGTCTGCACCACGTGGGTCAGCTCCCTGACCCTGACCGGGGATCGAACTCAGGCCAGCGTGACTGGCAATAGCTTGATAGCGCTGTGTCCTTAACCCCTGCACCACCACGGAGGCCCTCTGTACTTGTTTTTAACGTGCAGGCCTGGACAAGGAAATTACCCTTAAACAAGTGACACAGAGAGAACTACTCAAGCTCACCGCAGCTCCCAGGCTCTCTGCCATTCTGCACGGGAGCCTTGGGGATTTGGTAGGCAATAGGGAGACCATCTCCAGTAGCCAGTGTCTCCATTTCTAGGAGACCTTTTTTAGGAAAAAGAGCTCTCAAGAAGTGGAGGAAGCCAGAAGTGGGGATCTGTTTTTTTTTAAAGATTTATTTATTTATTCATACAGAACTGGGGTACGGGCCAGAGATGCAGAGGGTGAGAGGCTTCACCAGAGACAGAGTGGGGAGCAGAACAGGCAGATCGACGAAGTACACTGCTGAGG